TCACATCCAGCTCCCCACTGTGCTTGCGAGAGTCACGCTGCACCTCGTGAAGTGTACAATCCAAAATGCACACATTCCTGCATTAACCACTTGCTCTCCAGAGGATTTTCCCCCCGTTTCCTGACCAGGCAATTTTTTGCATTAAAGAGCTGCGTTACTTTAACTGACAATTGCGCGGTCATGCAACACTGCACACAAATGAAATTTACGTCCTTTTTTTTCCCCACAAATTGAGTTTTCTTTCAGTGGTATTTGATCACCTGCGCGTTTTTATTTTTTTGCGCTATAAAAAAAAGACCAACAATTTTGAGAGAAAAAAAAAAAAAAACTGTATTTTTGACTTTTTGCTATTAAACATGTCCAGTAAAAATTTTTAAAAAAAAATCAAATTTCGTCATAAAATTTACACCAAAATGTATTCTGCGACATGTCTTTGCTAAAAAAAAAAATCCCAATACATGTAAATTAACTGGTATATGTGAAAGCTATAGTGTTTACAAATGGCGGTATATATACTGGGATTTTTTAAAATTTTTACTAGTAATGGCAGCGATCAGCGACTTATAGCGGGACTGCGGCAGACAATCTGATACTGGGGGGAACTGACTTGGTGTCACTGACATGCCTAATGACACCAATACAGTGATCAGTGCTATAAAAAAAAAAAAAAAGCACTGACAATGTACTAATGGCACTGGGCAGGAAGGGGTTAACATAAGGGCAATCAAAGAGTTAACTGTGGGCAGGGAGTGTTTTACTGGGGGGCGGTGTGTTGATGCTTCGCTGTAAGCACACTGCTTTGGATGGCTGTGCTGTGCACAGCCATCCAGAGCAGTGTGCCCGAGCTGACAACTGTTAGTAAACAAAAAGGTCCTCCTCCCCGACAGAGATCTTCGGAAATCACTGGGCACCGGTGAGTAATTGCCGGCCGGGACCCGGTGATTAACAGCTGCGACCGCAAATAGCAATGCAGGTAGGGTGCGCGCCCCCTACCAGAAAATGCAAAACCACGTATATATACACACATGATTTTGTGCACCCGTGCTGTCCTGTAGCAGAATTTCTGCTATAGGGCGGACGGGAAGCAGTTAAAAATGTTTGTGTATATAAGTGGGTGCTGCAGCGACCGTCGCCTGGAGCCGAACAGAATCAGCAAGGGAGATGCCTGATGAAGGGGTCCTGCAAGACTCCAAAACGTTGCCTTGCTGTAACTATGTCATCGTTCATTAAAACTTTTGGTGATCCTTAGTGTACTGGTGACATCCTTCCTTGCGCCTTGTGAATGGATCCACAGCCTCCTGAGTCATGTCCCAGAAGGTTGCAAGGGGGTGAATTTCCATTCCAACTGCTTCAACGGTTGGAGCGGGTACCTCTCAAAACTAGGTACCCCCCCTCTTTCAAAAATATATTCCAAACATGGCAGAGAGGGTAGCTGGAAGAAAAGCTCATCCTTATACCCTTAACAATTCATTATAATTTTCGGACCCATAGACATACTGTAAAATCTAAATTGGTACAAAGAAACACCTTGTTAATTGTGACAGAAGCAGGTCAGGATTATTTTTCAGAATTAATCATGCATTTACTTCATTTTCTTTTACATGTGTGTTCTTTCAACTCAGCTGTTTCAAGTGTCATGGAAAAATTAATTATAAGGTTCTCAGATTTTAACATGTGCATTCTAGTGATGCAAAACTAGGAAACCACTATGTCTGTGTAAAAATATAGGCACGTATCAAGCACAGTTCTATGACTGTCTGGTTCCAAATCTGCAATTAGGCAGTGCAAATGTTCACAATGTAATAGAGACAAACATCCAAAGATGATCCTGATTTCCTACATCTTTACTTTTCTCTCTTTACAACAACGTGCTCCTTCACACAGATACGTGCAAGTTTTGATATATCTGTGTGAGACAGAAAAAATCTACACATGAGTGTGAAATCCGCAGTCTCCTATTGCCGCCTTTTAAGGCCATGCACTCAGAAATCTCCTTATTAAGAAAGAGAAAGTACAGCGTACACAAAGCCACAGTCCAGTACGGGTCTAAACATGTAGGTGTTCAATAAACATATGATGTCATTAGTTAGCAAATTGTTTTATAGAAAAAAGCAATGTGATAGAAGTTATATTTTCCAGTGCTGTAATCGATTACATCTAAGTCCTCATGCACACTTGACATTTTTATAGCTGCTGTTTTTGGCTTTTGACGTTTGACGTTTTTTTCTACAGCCAGTAAACCCCCCAGCATGTTATCCTATGTGTCCATGCACACACAGACTGTAATCAACTTTTTTGGCAGGGACATTTTTGGCTGGCAAAAAAACCCAGAACTAGTGGGTTTCTAGAGGAGTTTTTTAGCTGTAAAAACGCTCTGAGGCAAAACGCGGTAAAGCGCTGCAAACCGGCGTTTTTGGACAGTTTTCTGACCAAAAAAAAAAAAAAATTTTTCTGTAAAAAAAAACCCACTAAAAAATGCTACAAAACGTAAATGCAGAAAAACATGGGAAAACACAGCTAAAACGCGGCAAAATGCAGCTAAACGCTAATGCAAAAACACTAAAAAAACTGAAAAACTTACGTTTTTAACATGACTTTACACAGCTAACGTTACCAGCATTATCAAAACGCCCTGTGTGCGTGGAGACAAAATGTGTAGCTATTTAACTGCTACTGATAAAAAGTTTCTCTGATTAAAAGCAAGCATGGGCAACATTGCAGCAAGGCAGAGCATGTTTGGCTATTGAGAAAGTAAACCGGAGCTGCAACAAATTTAAAATCTGCCATTGCTGATCTCTCCTTACAAAAATGCTAGCTGTGCAGCGGTTATGCTCATCTAATGGTTACATTAGTTTGTCACAGGCCTTGATCAAGTATGTAGACCAGGAATTCTGATTTTTAGTGGTTGTAGATCTATTTGGTGAATTACAAATTACAGGAGTATAGCCAGATACCTAGCAATTTTAGAGAGTGATCAGCAACTGCAGTGTCTGTACCCCTCAGGCTGCATTCACACGAGTGTTTTGTAGCTTGAAGCTCGAAGATTGAAGCTCCAAAAAGGTTCAAACTTAAAAAATGTCCCAGAAGACTACAGGGAGGGAGGTGGGAGGACAACTTCCGGTTCCGATCGCCTAGGCAATCACAGCAGAAATGTGAGTGGGTACCTGTCAATTTCGGGTACCAGCTCCCCAAAGGTGCCAATCCCTAATGGGGAGCGGGGGACCAGTCTTTAAAGCAGAACATCCCCTTTTGGGTGAAGCTCCCCTTTAAGTGATTCCTTCTATGCATAGTATAGTTTGGCTATTCAAGGCAAGTGACAGGCTCTCTTGAAACAGTACCTCCTCCCCCAACCACCGATACTCACCTTTTACTTGCTTCCCTGCTACTCTGTCCTGCAGCAGGGCAAAGAATTTCTTTTTAAATAGATTTATATTGGCAATATCAAACAAATACAACTTCTGATACCACCTCAATGTACGGTCAGTACAGCAAGTACCTGTGCAGCTTAGGTCTTTTGGGGCTTACTGGTAGATCCCAGAACAACCAGATTTCTTGTCTCATGTAAAAAATATAAACCTGAACTCTACACATACAATATTATTAACCAAACACCCAATCTCTAATCTCATTTTATTTTTGTGTTTTAACTCAAAAAGTGACAAAACATTACAGATATATATATATATAAAATTAATATTAGAATTTATAATAAATATACACAACAAGGAAAAATGTGATGACTGGTCCTCCAAGAAATTAAAGGATAAGTTCACCTTTGGGAACATGTTACATGTTCCACCCGTTTTTAGGTGTTTTTACTTGTTTTACATGTTCCCAATACTGTAGCTGGTACCCGCTGTCCCCTCCCTCCTTGTGATTTAAGTATGGGGAGAAGTTCCTGTACAAGCTGTCACTTTTTGAATAGAGCATGGCTGTGCGGGGCTCCGCCCACACGGCCGCATCATTCATTGACAGAGTTCTGTAAATGAATGAACTACAAGTCCCGACAGCCTTAGGGGCTATCGGCTTGTAGCTCTCAATGCACTGCCATGGCCCTGTGGAGCGCCGTGGTAGTTCATTGATTCTTCCTGTCAGTGTATCTGCTTGCCCATACATCCTGTACAGGTAAGCAGAAATACTGACAAATCTGCAGGAGATCTGCATGGCACCACTGATCTGCTGATCGCTGGTGAAATGGTGTACAGGCTCCTGCAACCAAAATTAATTAATGCACATTTTATTACTTGCAAAAAAATGTGCATTTATTATTTTGGTCAAAAGGTGAACTTATCCTTTAAAACAGAATCTTCAAAAGAACTGAAAACATAAAAGACGTTTTCTTAATGAATATAAAATAGCGCAAGAAATTTTTATCTAAAAGCCAAACTCCAGCTTCAGCTAAAAGTATGAAACTGCCCAAGTGCTGTTAAAAAGAAACCTGAAAAGGAAGAGAACTTTGTAAACTTTTTATAGCTGATTGCATCTCCTCACTTCCAAATTCATCGCTGTTAGAAAAGGAAGTAAGGGGAAATCCTCCAAACAGGGAACACGTAGCAATAAAAACATATTTTCTGAGGTTGATCAGCCCCTCATATCCATCTAGAGATCTAATTAATGGAAACAACAGCATTTAAAACCCGATGCAGGTTCTAACCCTCTCTATCTAAATTTTGAAAAAAGTAAGACTCAAATCTACGGAAGTAATGAAGTTAAAAGCCATACTTTAACATCCCCATACTTACTAGGCCACCTACCCCAATTTTCTATAATGCACCTGCAAATACTTTCAATTTTATGTCACTTTCTACTCTCCCTGGTTGCAATTCACACACTTACTTGCTTATAACATTCACTTCTCTATGGAATCATACAGCATCCTTATACAGGTAAAATGTAGAAGAAATGATAGTCTGTGTGGGTGGAAAAAAAATAGTTTCCAAAGCGGATTCTAGTTAGCGTTAATTAAATGAGAATAGGCAGCTGTGTCCTTACAGTCAAGCCTAGCAGACGCCCCGAACACCTTCATCTTCTGGCCTCTCCATTGTTTTTAAAAGCTCTTCAACAAAGCTCATCTCTGCACTGACTTGGGCAGCCAATGCTTCATATTTATTTTCTAGACGTCCCATTCTTCTCTTCAAGCCATTCACAACAAGCATTGCACTCCTTATATCTTCCTGAACCTGGCAACGTTGCCCTTCACCACGCTGGAGCTCCTGCCGAAGTCCCATGAGTTGTTGTGTGACACCTTCCTGTTGTTCCCGATACCAGCTTTCTTTTTCCTCATAAATGGAATGCAGGGCACAAAGATCCTCACGGGACGTATTTTGGCTTTTCTGCAGCTCCCGCAATGCGTCCTCGGCTGCCCCTAGTTCCTCAAGCACATGACTGAATCTTTCAAAGTTCACATAAGTGTTATTAGGAGGCATGCTTGAGTGGGATTTAATTGTGTACTCCTTCAGTCTTGTTGTCTTCAATCTCCGGCGCTCAGGGCGTTTTCCACTATCTTCATGGCGCACGTTCCTGCGTCTTATTGCCTAATTAGGAAGAGAGAGAAAGAGTTATCCTCGTTTTTAGTTTCTTATTAGTACATCTACGACTTTACTCAGTTTAAACGAATGTAAATTAGGCAATTCATAGTGACTAAATGTGCAGCTAGAGATTCACCGCCAGGTCTCTGTTTACTGGTGAATGAACAATTAGGCTGGTAAGGCAACTGTGATCAAAACTAGAAACAGTTTCCAAAAGTTGGCAACTAAGCAAACAGTTATGATGCACAAACAGGATCATTCAATAAAACAGTGCAAATAAATATTTGAATGTGCCAATGCAGTAACCTAATGCTGCAAAGCAGAATTGTCCATTCAAAAAACTAACTCTAGTAAACACCATAAAATCATTATGCAAAAAGAGGTTGAATTGCAGTAAGGCCTTGGTTTTAATAATAATTGAATTCACTAAATTATAATGCAGGCAGGCTTTTTGACCAGTTAAGGGCTAAGTACACGTTAACCAGAAAATAGCAGCCAAGGGACCCCAATAGATAATGAAAAAAAGAAAAAAAAAAAAACCTGAGCAGCTTTGAAAAATGTTCATTAATTTTGGCTTCCCTCTGAAACCATGCCAAAAAACTCCAGTTAGAAATCCCCACATTGTGCCTCATTGTTAGGACATGAAAACTGTTGGATGCTCACTCCCTGTTCTACTGGAGATAAAACTGTAAAACCGAGCTGTCCAATAACAGCTTACAGTGCCTTGAAAAAGTATTCACACCCCTTGAAAGATTTCCACACTTTGTCATGTTACAACCAAAAACATAAATTTTATTGGGATTTTATGTGATAGACCAACATAAAGTGGCACATAATTCTGAAGTGGAAGGAAAATGATAAATGGTTTTTACAAATAAATATGTGAAAAGTGTGGCGTGCATTTGTATTCAGCCCCCCTGAGTCAATACTTTGTAGAACCACCTTTCACTGTAATTACAGCTGCAAGTCTTTTTGGGGATGTCTCTATCAGCTTTGCACATCTAGAGAGTGAAATTTTTGCCCATTTTTCTTTGCAAAATAGTTCGAGCTCTGTCAGATTGGATGGAGAGCATCTGTGAACAGCAATTTTCAAGTCTTGCCACAGATTCTCAATTGGATTTAGTCTGGACATTGACTGGGCCATTCTAACACATGAATATGCTTTGATCTAAACCATTCCATTGTAGATCTGGCTGTATGTTTAGGGTCGTTGTCCAGCTGGAAGGTGAACCTCCGCCCCAGTCTCAAGTCTTTTTGCAGACTCCAACAGGTTTTCTTCTAAGTTTCCCCTGTATTTGGCTCTATCCATCTTCCCCATCAACTCTGACCAGTTTCCCCGTCCCTGCTGAAGAAAAGTATCCCCACAACATGATGCTGCCACCACCATGTTTCACGGTGGGAATGGAGTGTTCAGGGTGATGTGCAGTGTTAGTGTTCCACCACACATAGCATTTTGCTTTTAGGCCAAAAAGTTAAATGCTGGTCTCATCTGACTAGAGCACCTTCTTTCACGTTTGCTTTGTCCCCCACATGGCTTCTCGCAAACTACAAACAGGATTTCTTATGGCTTTCTTTCAACAATGGCTTTCTTCTTGCCACTCTTCCATAAAGGTCAGATTTGTGAAGTGCATGACTAATTGTTGTCCTGTGGACAGCTTCTCCCACCTGAGCTGTGGATCTCTGCAGCTCCTCCAGAGTTACCATGGGCCTCTTGGTTGCTTCTCTGATTAATGCTCTCATTGCCTGTCCTGTCAGTTTAGGTGGACAGCCATGTCTTGGTAGGTTTGCAGTTGTGCCATACTCTTTCCATTTTCAGGTGATGGATTGAACAGTGCTCCATGAAAAAAACTATTTTTTTTTTATAAACTAACCCTCCTTTAAGCTTCTCGACAACTGTATCCCTGACCTGTCTGGCTTTCATGATGCTGTTTGTTCACTAATGTTCTCCAACAAACCTCTGAAGGCTTCACAGAGCAGCTGTATTTGTACTGAGATTAAATTATACACAGGTGGACTCGATTTACTAATTAGGTGACTTCTGAAAGCAATTGGTCTCACTAGATTTTAATTGGGGGTATCAGAGTAAAATGGGCCGAATAGAAATGCATGCCACACTTTTCAGATATTTGTAAAAAATTTTTGAAAACCATTTATCATTTTCCTTCCATTTCACAAATACAGTGTATCCTAGATTGTAGGCTCGAAAGAGCAGGGCCCTCGAACCCCTTGTGTATTGTTCTATTACTGTATTGTCTCATGTACTGTCCCCCACTATAATGTACAGCGCTGAGCAAACCTTTTGGCGCTATATACTGTATATTAATAATAATAATAATAATAATAATATGTAAAAAGTCTACACACCCCTGTTAAAATATCAGGTTTCTGTGATGTAAAAAAATGAGACACAGATAAATCATTTCAGAACTTTTTCCACCTTCAATGTAACCTGTACAACTCAATTGAAAACAAACTGAAGTCTTTGAGGGGGAGGGGGTAAACATAAAAAACTAAAATAATGTGGTTGCATAAGTGTGCACACCCTTAAACTAATACGTTGTTGAGTCTATCAGCATGGCACATCTTGACTTGGCAATATTTGCCCACTTTTCCTTGCAAAAACACTCCAAATCTGTCAGATTGCGAGGGCATCTCCTGTGCACAGCCCTCTTCAGATCACCCCACATATTTTTGGTCAGATTCAGGTCTGGGCCATTCCAAAACTTTAATCTTCTTCTGGTGAAGCCATTTATTTGTTGATTGGGATGTATGCTTTGGGTCATGCTGAATGATGAAGTTGCTGCCCCCATTGTCTACCAATAATTACGAGCACATTTTACACAGCCAGGTGGGGCTAGCAAAAGTGGCCAGGTGCTTTGGCTGCCTGCCTTTCCATCCCCCATGCTGAAATGCACATGTGGATGACTCGATCATTCTAAAGATGACTTTTCAAACGATGAGTATCACACGTATGTGCTTTTGAACTTGCATACATAGTGACTCTTTTGAGCCTCTTGCTACTTGAAATTATCCATACTATTTATATTGCATTTGGGCAACAGCATGCAATTTATGTTACATATCAGTAGAACATCCTTTGTAGTGTACAGCTAACAACTTTCAGGAGACTATTTGGCAGGCATCAAGGGCTGGATGCTTCTGTTCTGTCTACATTATCCTTTATTTGGACTCACCTTTATAAAAGGTGAAGATTATCAGATGGATTATACACTTTTCATATGTGGAAGTCACACTGATCTGCTCTAATTAATGGAACAAGCAAATGGTGTGAGAACTATCTGGAAGGTTTTCAAACTCAAATAAAGGCGGTCATGCTCTTATATGTTGCTATCAATTTGTTTTACTAACCACCCATGGGAATTGATGGATGTCTCTGTTACAGTTTAGTGGAGCACAGCACTGAAGAACTGCATTCTTGAAGTAGGTTTGGACTACCTATGCAAAAACATGTGATACTAATGCATGAGGCAGATGCAAGTTATATCATCCGTAAAAAGGGGTTTCTCAAACCAATTCATTTTGGAAGGCTCTATATAGACACTGAATAATAAACCTTTTTGGGGGATGATCTTCATTAAAAAGGGATTGATATGTCTCCACACAATTGTGACCACTTGCAAGATCTTGATTGCAAGATAACTTCCCTATGTGTGTTTTTTTCTTATATATTTAATAACCTTCTGGCTCAGGTTACCAATGAATTTCTATAAAAAAAAAATCTATTGAATGCCTTACAATATTGGCACACTCACTGGGCAAGGAAATGGCAGTTGTCAGGGCTAAGTATTGAAGTTAGCTGCTAGTAAAATAAAGAAACTAGCCTCAAAGATGCTTGCAGAGAAATGACTTCTGGATAACAAAAAGGTAAGAGCAGGAATCTTGTGGTATCTACTTTTAGACAAGACATTTTGCTTTCAGTCATAAAAAAAATGACTAAAAACACATAATTAAAGACAATGTCAAAAACAAAACAAAACAAAAATCAAACAAAAAGGAAAAAAAACCTCAGAAAAACTATAAGACTTCATTTAATTCCTACCTTAATCCATGAATGTTCTAAGCTCTCATCAATTGTCATCCGTTTCCTGAAACAATATCCGTATTAGTATCCGAGTAGTATTACATGTCACTACTCAATACACAAACAGAGTGATTAACTAAACTGAAGTGAATCTGTACTCACTTCAAACATTCAGTCATGTGCATGAGATGCTTCTATTTTATACTTTAGTAAATCATCTTTAAGTTGTTTTTGTCACAAAAGAAAAAAATTAAAGAGCTAAGTTAAAGCAAAATGACAATTTAGAACTTTAAAAAAAGGCAAGGGACACAGACTTCATAGACAATGGCTTTGTTTTTCAATTCTGTTGTTACCAGTAATTTGTTGTATTAAAACTCTCTGTATGCTGTAGTCATCCTCAAAAGCAGAGCTTGTCTTTTTCTTGGAGTATATTACAGACACACAATAAAGTATTCTGATTCCAGTAGGTCATTCTACCATCTTCAAGCCCAAGTTAGAATCGTGGCAGTGGTGTGAAGTGAGTGAGCAAGCTGTGTCACTGCTATTGATACCAAATTACACCTAGGTTCCCATGAGAGTGCGAGGTCCTGGCTTCTACCACTTGGCAGAAGGATGGGGAGGATCGGACATGCCTTCTTGAGGTTCTTCACCCTCCAGATGGGCATACACTCTAAAAGGGGTCTTCAGGAACAGGTTCCCCCAGACGGGTAGACCGAAGCCCTAGCACTCTGCGGCTGTCTCATCGCATTGCATGGTGTACTTAGGTGGGTGCCTCTAGTAGAGTCAGTGCTGGAAGACATATTACAGGCTGTCCCCGCAACAGAATAGCAAAAATAGGAATATGTAATAGCAGAATGAAAAGGAAACCTATACTTATGAGTACGGGAGTATCCAGAATAAACTCAAAGATAGGCTTCTGTAAAGCCAACAGGACCAAATTAAGATCCAAGGTGAGATATACAGTGCTCAACATAAATGAGTACACCACTTTTGAAAACTAAGATTTTAATCAATATCTTAATGAACACAAGAACAATTTCCAAAATTTTGATAAAACTGAGTTTTATAGAACATTTGTTTAGCTCATTTACATAAAAGTAAGGTTAGTAATATAACTTAAGATTAACTTTTATTTTACTCAAATTAGTTGATGCAAAAATGAGTACACACCTTACAACAAAAACTACTACATCTAGTATTTTGTATGCCCTCCATGATTTGTAAGGACAGCACCAAGCCTTTTAGGCATGGGATGAACAAGTTGGCAACATATTGCAACATCGATCTTTTTCCATTCTTCAAGAATAACCTCTTTTAGAGCCTGGATGCTGGATAGAGAGTGATGCTCAGCTTGTCTCTTCAGAATTCCCCATAAGTGTTTGGGTTCAGATCAAGAGACAAATTTAGCCACTGAATCACTTTCACCCTGTTCTTCTTCAGAAATGCAACAGTGGACTTAGATGTCTATTTTGGATCATTGTCATGTTGGAAAACTGCAAGAAATCCAAGGGTACGGAGTGAAGGTAGCATCTTCTCTTAATACAGAGCAGTAAATCTATGAATTCATAAAACCCTCAATGAAATGCAGCTCCCTGACACCAGCAGCACTCATGCAGCCCCACAGGACACTGCCACCACAATGTTTCACTGTAGCTACCATGCATTTTTCTTTGTACTCCTCACCTTTGCAACGCCATACAGTTTTGAAGCCATCAGTTCCAAAATCATTTATCTTGGTCTCATCGCTCCAGAATAGAGTCTACTTCTTTTTCAGCATGGGCCCCCGGCAAATTCTAGGCCGGCTTTTTTGTTCATGGGCTTTAGGAGAGGCTTCCTTCGTGGACGACACCCATGCATGCCATTCCTCTGCAGTGTTTGCCGTATTATCTCACGGGAAACAATCACCCCAGTTTGGCATGGCAATTTTCTTCAACCCTTCTCATCAGAAGACGCTCCTCTCGAGATGTTATCTTCTATAGATGGTCTGGATGTCTCTGTGAGATGGTCGCAGTTCCATCTTTGTTAAACTTTTGTATCAATTTTGCTACAGTGTTCTGATTGATAAGTAAAGCTTTTCTGATCTTCTTGTAGCCTTCACCTTTCTTGGGTAAATAATTTTCTTTCTCAGGCCTTGTGACATTTCTCTTCCATGTGGTGTCATTGCTGGCAGTATGAAATGGGAAGTGGTTTTCTTTGTTAACTACTTGCCAACTGCAGATAGCCAAATGATGGCTACACTGCGGCCGGCTAGTTCTGGGAGGGCGTCATATAACGTCCTCCCAGAACGTGCTCTTCTTTTTTGCATTTATCAAAATATATTACAAAGCACTTTCAATAATTTAAATAACAAACCTAAAAAGGTAGCAAATAAGAAAAAAAATTTTTTTTAGGGGTTACACACACTTTATCTTACAGCCTAAAGGGTAAGTTATTATTATGGGGTTGTGGTTGCTGGGTAGTAAGATGAGGCAGGTACATCATTTATTTTTTTATTGATTGGGGGGATGCATTTTGGCCTCTTTACCTTTGGTCATAATGGACCTTGTCCTGGCACTAATAATGGACATATTTTCTGGATAACATTAGCAGGTCAGCAAATGAGTTTGACTGCACATTTCACTATATATATATATATATTTTTTTTTTAATTACTTACTTGGGATCCTTGACCAGTAATCTTCGGATAAAATCTTTTGCAAGTTCACTTGTATTGCTAAAATATTCCTCATCAAAATCATAATTAACACCAGAGATATTGGTCAGCGTTTCCTGCTTTGTCTCTCCTAAGAAGGGAGATGCTCCACTCAGGCTAGTAGAAGAAATAGAAAACACTTCAATAAATCAAATGTCAGATTAAAACACTAAAGAGTAACTCTGCTTTTCTTGAGGAAAAAAAAAAAAAAAAAAAAAACATTCCCCTCTGGGTGATCTATGTACATTTCAGGAATTTTAACAAACTGTTTCAGATTACTGCCTTTTGTTATTCTGAAGAAATAGCTGCTTGTTTGCCTGTGTCCATGTGCAAAGTGAATCTAATGGGAGTGATTTCACAATTATCAAACAACTGCAAGGCCCTAATGAGGAGACTGGCAGGGTCTGCATCCCTTTAGTCATGATTTTCTATTGGGAGTATCTGAACCAAACATAATTTTGTTGCAGGGGATGCCTGAAATCTGATTTGTATCTTCATGCCCATTCACACCATGCCTGCATTAGAATCACTTGGGATTGTGCTGTGTGTTCCTGTGCAATTCAACCCACATGCAAAAAATGCACTGCTTTTGTGATCTGCAGTGGGTGTCAAAATGTTAACAACACCCCAAACGCAGGTTGCAAACGCAGTACGTTTGCCTACACCTTCCCGCACCTGATTGCATGGTACTTTTGTACCATGCAATCCAGTTACAGTGTGTTGTAAAAAGTAGCGCATTCACTGCAGTGTGGTGTGATTTGAGCCCATTCAAAATGAATGGACTTGAAATAGTACTACATACAGTCGCATGGGAATCGCACAGGAATGCACGGCGAGCTCCTGTGCAATTCAGCTCCAGGAATGGTGTGAACTGACCCTTCGCACAGACCTCTGGGAAAATCAGTAAGCCAAACACACAAACTGGAAATTATGTTTCTGTGGGTTTTCTGTACAGATTCTGTGTACAGAACACCTCCACATAGCCATATTGCATTTTACAGAAAATGACAGTGCTGCAAATTGAAAAGAAAAGGTCATTTTTAATAACATTAAATTACGATATGACTTCTGTCGCAATTGTATATGCAATACTATTTTTGTGGATTTGCTATTTTTTTTCCAGAAAAGTGGAGCTACCCTTTAACATATAATGGGACAACCTAAAGACTGTAACCATAAGAAAGTTCTAATGCAAGTGAAAGAACTAGAAAAACGTGTAATAAAGCTCACTTTTGCACATTTTTTATGCAGAATTTATGTTGTTCATTTCAAATCAATATTAGACAAGGTTTTTCTCAAATTGATATTTCCACACAAATCAGGTTATGCCTTCAATTGCGTTATCAGCTTGCCATCACTAAATGTATTGCTGGGTTGTTGCCTGAAGCCTGCTTACTGGAACCCATCAAAAGAAGCAGAGTTCTCCTGAAAATGCTGCCTGTCATGCTGACCTTCTTGGCATTAATACTTTTGTTAGTGACTGTGAATATGTAGCTTACTCAGGTGAGAAATCTTTAAGCCAGAGCCCTCAGCTTATTTTTGTGCCCTTCAAGCAACCCCAGATGATATAAATGGAGATTTGAACTCCAAAGTTAGAAATTCATCACCGATTACTTGCTGCAGGGTATTTGTTACTTGAAAGTCACATACCACTTCTAGAATTTATCTGTCAAAACGTTTTGTACATAGATTATCTGCAATCCATAAATACAAAATGTTTGCTTTGGCACATATCCATTCAGGGTGTTTTTTTCTGGCATCTCCTGTCTGCAAACACTTTCCCAGGCAAACTAATGCTATGACGCACCTGCTCAGGTTGAATATATATTCGAGACAGGGCAATTCTGCCGCGACTGTCACGCTGCAATCACGCAAATCAAATCACACAGTGTGCGTTGCCCAAAAGAAGTTTTGGAACCGTGATTTGGTTTGCGCTATTGCAGTGGATTTGTCGCACGACAACCGCAGCAGAATCGCCCCACATTTTTTTTAGGTGCCATTGAAATGATTGCACCTGAACATGCTGATTTGACAATTTAACAGCACGTTTTGAAATCGTGGGCAGAATCGCGGCATTTCAGCCCACAATTCAGAATGCCTAATTGTGAACGGAGCATTAAGGGAACTGGATGCAAAATAAAAGTGTGTAGCGACCTCAGTGGTGCCACATTTAAACTTAATATCCTCAAAATGTTTTCTAACGTGGCTCTGTGACCCTTTTGGCAGCACAACCATGAAAACCAGTACCTGGCTGCTATAGCAGCTGAGAATAAGTTTACATATTCACTCTTGGCTGTTGGCTGATAGAAGGGATTAGGGCAGCTGGATGTCCTGGACCTCCATGGTGGGTGTCAGATTGGGGAGCTCTCACCCTGACCTCTCTGGCTAGGGAACAAGCTGATCGAGCACAATCTTCCGAACACAATCTTTGCTCTATCAACTTCAACAGAATGCAGAGGAGACATTAGGGGTCTAATAGAGAACTTGTATCTTGAATTATGATGATCCCCCCCACCTCTTGTGATAAAGAAAAAAAAATAATAAAACAATATTTAAAAAAATATGTTTCATAAAATAAACACCCCCCCCCAAAAATTTTAAAAGCACCCTCTGCCCCCACTTATGAGTACGTTGGTTTCACATATGTGTGGTGTAATGAGTATTTCCATACATATCTGGTATCGCCATGCACACCTGAATGAAAGTAATAATTCTAAGGCCATCATTCACTGTTACCTCTAAATTAATGAGCTGCAAATGCTTTTAAAGGGTCGCCTATGGACTATGTTGGGTACTGTAGTTTATCCACTGCTTCATGGGTGACCACAATTTTGGAGATGAACACATCTGATATCAACGTGCTTGGACACAACTTCAAGCAGAGCTCCACCCAAAAGGGGAAGTTCCGCTTTAAGGACTGCTTCCCTGCGCCCCATTAAGGATTGGCACCTTTGGGGAGCGGGTACCTGAATTCGACAGGTACCCGCTCCCACTGCGATTGCCTAACGGAAGCAGAAAGTGACCTCCCTCCCTGTAGTCTTTTGAGACACGTGACAGGTCCCAGAAGACTACAGGGCCATTCACGAAGCGCAGTGCTACTTGCGCATGCGCAGTGGGGACGAAGCCGGAAGCTATCACATCCAGGTACCCACACTGAAGATGCCGGCCTCCTGGAATACAGGATGGCCGGTGAAACGAGATGCGGGGGACACACCCAGAGAACGAGGGACAGGTACAGTTTTTGTAGCTGCTGACTTTTATTTTTTGATAGACTGAGTGGAACTCCACTTTCAGCTTCATTATGTTTGTGTGCACAAAAATTGCTTTGAATGTGTGCTGTACTGAAAATATAGATTTCATAAGCAGTACATGTGACATTGCAACTGCCACTATTTTATTCTACAGGGTCATTGCCTTAAAAAAAAATATATAATATTTTGGAATTTTAAATAAAATTCTGGCTTAAAATATGCATTTTAACATGTTACTGTACCAGATGGGAGGTGAGAAAATCTATCCAACAACACAGACAGAAATCTTCTCTTTAGTGGAGCAAGTAAAGGCTAGAAATCCTGTAAGGTTTGTATTTCTATGTCCTGTTGCAGATCTTTACTTCCAGCCTGGGGAACCATTGCCAGCAGGACAGGAAGTGAGTTTAAATCTATCTAACACAGCCTGGAAAAGCAGTTCTAAGTCTACCTCCACTCTATCTAAAAAACGTTGGCTTAACATACACAACTTCTGAGCAGTTTGCCTTGCATAATATTTGCTGCATCAATATCGATATTAATTGTAGTGCAATTTACACCAAAAATTGCTTCAGTACTACTGAAATGAATTGCAAGACACCAAGCATAGGACTTGTGTCTATGACAAAAATATGCCATTCAATCTCAACTAATTGGGTTGAGACAGATTTTTCAAGCACACTAAAATAATGACCCAATTATATTGCCCTTGAGTATACTATATTTGTATATCTATCTAAGATCAGCACAAGCTAGAAAGCAATATTTATGATCTCATGATTTTCAAAGAACTGCTCTAGATTTCAGTTTGGAGTGTTGTTTTACTGTATTACTTATTATTAGCAAAAACATGTCCTTCCTATCTCTGTTCAAAACCTTTGAACATAGTCTGACTTGAATAATTTGTTGAGTACTTGGTTTTAATTCCTAATCCTTTGGCTAAAGAGTTCCAAACTTGAAGATGGCTGTCTAGAACACAGTTTTTCTCATCCAATGCTGCAAATACTTCAGGGGTTACCTGATAACTAATGTATACATTATAGGATAGAGTTTTGACAAGGGATAGTTTGGAAAACATTTTAAAACACAATTAAGGGATGCTAGGAGTAAATACCTGCATGTCAGTGGGGTACTTGAGACACAGTGGCCTATGCAACAACACCCGTAGGTAACTAGAAAACTTTGGCTTTGGCTTTTATTACACCTGAGGTGTAAACATCTAAGTACACAGATGAAGTACAAATGGGGGGCTGTTTTACCTGCCAAAGAATTTGCATTTCTATTAGGGAACTTACAGCTGACAACTTACTGCTGCAGTCTGTAGTATTGAGCAGTAAAGGAGCACCAGAAGATGGATTAGCTCATCTCTCTGCTCCTGTCAGCATATTTGCATGACATTCACCAGAATGGGTCACATTGCTGCCTCTATTTCACCCAGTCTGAGTGCTGCTGTACAGGAGACAGACATCACTTCAAATTTGGGTACTTACACAGTGGATGCAGGTAAAAAGATGCACATTTTCTGACCTCAACACTGCATTCACATTTTACATCTGCATGAAAAGACAGCTTTAAGGGGCACATGAACTAATAAACCCGAGATACGTTGCAATAGAAAAAAAGATATTACGGTTTTGTATCACTATAGTCAGCAAATACTCACAGGATGTAAGTAATAACTCCAATGCTCCTGTGGGAACAAAGACATAAGTTAGGTCAGCAGGATACCAATTTGCAGTGAGTCTATGCATACAGTCAAGTATTTCACCTTACAAAAAAAAAAAAGAAGAATTTGATCCAAAATGTTGTTTCTACATGAGCTAAAAATTTATTTAAAGTGTTACTAAACCCAGGACCCTGCATTTACTAATATGGTCTCCCATAGTACACAGAATATGGAAGTGGAATTATTTTAGTAAATTTAAACTGCTAAATACCTTTTCTCATTAGCAGATAGAGCATTCTTGTGACTTCAATCAGTGTCCAGCAGAGCACATGTTAAAGCTTGTAGGAGGATTTTTCATTTTGCTCTAGGACAGCGGTTCTCAACCTGGGGGTCGAACGACCATTTCCCAGGGGTCGCCTAAGACCATCGGAAAACACATATTTCCGATGGTCTTAGGAACCGAGACACCGCTCCTCTGACTCAGTCGATGTGTGGGCGGGATGACACGCTGCCCTGTCACCTGGCCACACCTCCGGGATCCCTCAACAACTCCGCCTCCTCGCCGCTGATTGGCCACCGGAACTGTAGCTCAGGAGAGGCACACAGGCGGCCAATCACCGGCGAGGAGGTGGAGCTTGGAGAGGAGGAGCCGAGCGGCAGCGCGCGTAGATCTAAGAAGATCGAGGGAACTGCCGGAGTAAGTGAAGAGGGAGAGCGGCCAGAGAAGGAAGACAGCTGACAGGTAAGTGAGAGAGCGAGCCCAGGCTGGAGCAGGGGTCAGCAAGGTAAGTATCATTGGTGTCAGTGGGAGGAATAGTGCCCCATCATTTGTGTCACTAATACCAACAATGGGGCACTATTTCTCTCCACTGACACCAAATGATGGGGCACTATTTCCTCCCCCCCCGCACTGACACCAATGATGGGGCACTATTCCCCCCCCCACTGACACCAACGATGGGGCACTATTCCTCCCCCCCACTGACACCAAGAATGGGGCACTATTCCTCCCCCCCACTGACACCAAGAATGGGGCACTATTCCTCCCCCCCACTGACACCAAGAATGGGGCACTATTCCTCCCCCCACCGACACCAACGATGGGGCACTATTCCCCCCCCCTGACCCCAAAGATGGGGCACTATTTCCCCCTCCCCACACTGACATCAATGATGGGGCACTATTCCTCCCACTGACACCAATGATGGGGCACTATTCCCCCCCTGACACCAATGATGGGGCACTATTCCCCCCACTGACACCAATGATGGGGCACTATTCCCCCCACTGACACCAATGATGGGGCACTATTCCCCCCACTGACACCAATGATGGGGCACTATTCCCCCCACTGACACCAATGATGGGGCACTATTCCCCCCACTGACACCAATGATGGGGCACTATTCCTCCCCACTGACACCAATGATGGGGCACTATTCCTCCCACTGACACCAATGATGGGGCACTATTCCTCCCACTGACACCAATGATGGGGCACTATTCCTCCCACTGACACCAATGATGGGGCACTATTCCCCCCCACTGACACCAACGATGGGGCACTATTCCCCCACTGACACCAACGATGGGGCACTATTCCCCCCACTGACACCAACGTTGGGGCACTATTCCTCCCACTGACACCAACGATGGGGCACTATTCCCCCACTGACACCAACGATGGGGCACTATTCCCCCCACTGACACCAACGATGGGGCACTATTCCCCCCACTGACACCAACGATGGGGCACTATTCCCCCCACTGACACCAACGATGGGGCACTATTCCCCCCACTGACACCAACGATGGGGCACTATTCCCCCCCACTGACACCAACGATGGGGCACTATTCCCCCCACTGACACCAACGATGGGGCACTATTCCCCCCACTGACACCAACGATGGGGCACTATTTCCCCCACTGACACCAACGATGGGGCACTATTTCCCCCACTGACACCAACGATGGGGCACTATTCCCCCACTGACACCAACGATGGGGCACTATTCCCCCCACTGACACCAACGATGGGGCACTATTCCTCCCACTGACACCAACGATGGGGCACTATTCCTCCCACTGACACCAACGATGGGGCACTATTCCTCCCACTGACACCAACGATGGGGCACTATTCCTCCCACTGACACCAACGATGGGGCACTATTCATCCCACTGACACCAACGATGGGGCACTATTTCCCCCACTGACACCAACGATGGGGCACTATTCCCCCCACTGACACCAACGATGGGGCACTATTCCCCCCACTGACACCAACGATGGGGCACTATTCCTCCCACTGACACCAACGATGGGGCACTATTCCTCCCACTGACACCAACGATGGGGCACTATTCCTCCCACTGACACCAACGATGGGGCACTATTCCTCCCACTGACACCAACGATGGGGCACTATTCATCCCACTGACATCAGTGATGGGGCACTACTACTCCTTCCACTGACACCAATGATGTGGCACTAGTCCTCCCACTGCAAAATTACAGTTATGAAGTAGCAACGAAAATAATTTTATGGTTTGGGGGTCACCACAACATGAGGAACTGTATTAAGGGGTCGCGGCATTAGAAAGGTTGAGAACCACTGCTCTAGGAGGATGCAGGTCCCCTGACCTCTGTATGGACAGTGCTGGCTGACTGGCGCTGTGGTGATCACATGCACTCTCCCAAGAAAAAAAAATAACCTCTCTAGCAATACACACCAAACTGAGCATGTGCAGAGTGACTCCACACGATATGTCTTATCAGGAGATAAGAGGGGGGCACTGGAAGAAGGGGAGGATCAGAGAAGTCAGGAGCAAACAGCATTTTTACACAATGCAGAGGATTAACCCCTCAGGTTCCACAGTGAGTATATCAAGCATGCTTTACTGCATATACAGACTGACTTTACTGTTGTGGGTTTAGTAACACTAAGTTTGCTAGCTCAGAATTTGGGGCATGTGGTTTACACAAGAATAGATCTAAAAATATAAGTACAGACATCATTTTCTGTACATAGGAATAGAGAATTTGGGGTATCTGCAATATAGTAAACACAGAAGGAATGCAGTAAACAATTCGCAGGTTTTCAAATTGCTGAAAACAAATTAAAACAGAGACAGCCTCACATAGCCTGGTCACAGGTTCACCTGTGAGATTTTGCATGTTATCAAGGTGGAACCAATTAGAAAAAGGCAAAAAACGCATTTTCTTGATTTTTTAAGGCAGGGCAGGAATCTTGCATCAGTGTTTCAGCAGAGACATGTTAAAGTTTGTAGGAGGAGTTTTCATTTTGCTCTAGGAAGATGCAGGACCCCTGACCTCAGTCTGGACAGTGCTAATTGGCCTTTTGCTGATCACATGAACTCTCTCAAGAAGAAAAAACTCTCTAGCAATACACACCAAACTGAGCATATGAAGAGTGTCTCCATGATATGTCTTATCATCAGGAGACAAGAGGGAGACTCTGGAAGGGGAGAATCAGATAAGTCAGGATCAAACAGCATTTTTAATAATGCAGAGGATTAACCCCCTAGTTTCCACAGTGAGTATAACAAGCATGCTTTACTGCATATACTGTTGTGGGTTTAGTAACACTTTAAGGTTTCTGGAAAAAATTGTCCTTGTTTTAGCCCTGAAAGGATAACAAAGCTTTTTCTGTAATAAATGTATATATTTTCACCTTTTTTCAGTAGCTGTAGTGTCATTTTACCAGTCAATGTAAAGCTGAGCTCCAGGTATGATTTTTATTGCAAACTTCTATTGGGCCAGCCTGACACAATGTGAGTATGCATATCTCATACCTGAAGGGCCACAATGGAAGCTGACAAACAGCGTAGTAGACAGAGCTACCAGTGTGATCACATCAGTCATCCAGGTCCTTTATGATTGGCTTCCACGCAGCACACTGACAACAGGGGGTTGCTTGCTCTGCACTGTCATCATACATAGAACATTTTGTATTTGTTCCTATGAATTTGTGCTGGAGAGAGTGGGAGGAGTGGGCATGCAGGTACAGTGGAGAGAGGGTGTGCAAGCACGTATGTGTGGGTGGGATGAGGAGGGCTCATGCACTGTAGTTAGGGGGGTGGGGTTGCAGGCTCAGAGTGGGAAGGAAGTGAGTGGGCAGATATGGCAGTGGCAAGGGGAGCCATGCAGGTGTGCTTATTATCAAGGGGAGGGGGCATACAGGTGAAGTGGTGATAGTAGGAAGAAGGGAAAGTCCCTCACTGCACATGTCAAGAAACAAAAGCTTGTCAGTAAGATAGCACCGGTAACATACACACGCACAGTAGCATCTGGTCCCTGATATAGGAAGCAGAACATGCCTGGAATCAAACTGTCACCGGTAACAAGGCGCAGTAACCCACGCATGTACAGTAGTTTCCAGTTTCTGAGTTTCACCGCCATCTTACTGGATCACTAACAAAATGCACTCTCTGGTATATGAGCATGGCAATATGGTGGAGAGATTCCACACATGAGTGGGAGCTACCTTTCACACCAGTCTGTCCTGCGCATGCATGGGATCTTACTGCCATATTCCTGACAACATAGCACATGTGGGGAAGTGAGTACTGTGCCATCTCATAAATCCAAGACTGTGGATTGCTTCTGCTGTGCTTGCAGAGGATTTGGGTTTGGAGACTGAGCATGTATTAGAGACATGGGTGTGTTGTCAATGACAGCTTTGCAGTGACTGCTGCCCCCCTACCCCCCCCCCCCCCCATTGCTACAGACTGGGGGTGGGGGTGGGGGTGGGGGTGGGGGGGTTAAAAGTATTATTTCATTAACTACCTTTCTATAAAGGGATTTTAACTTCTGCTGCCACAACCTTATTTGCTTGTAAACAACTACTGTGATGTTAATATTTCATTTATCTCAATTTCTACCTTAAACTAAGGGGAAACTAAACTGCCACTTTACTTTCTGTATTGTTTTTTAACATAATTATAGGACGGCAAAATGTCTCAAAGTCCACTGAAATAAAAACTTTTTTTTTGCATGAGTTTTCAGTTTATTCAAGATTTGATTTGTATGTACACCAAGATACAGGGCAGCAGAATAAATACAGAATTTTCACTGCAGCAATGCAAGCAAGTTAACAGTGATCTTAATAATTCAGGCAAATGTGGGGATAAAAATATATTATGTAAAGTTCTGATAAGCATACTTTAAACCCTTTAAACAAAGAAGAGTGTGGACTGCTGCATTACAATATTATGTATTAACATATGCGAAAAGTCACAAAATCACCAACATTTCTTACCACATATCTGCCTCTAGACCGAGAGGTTCATAATTTACTATCTCAGGAGCTATGAAAAGGAGAAAATTTTTAACATTAGAACAAATTCCACACATAACAATACAAAAAAATAAAACAATGTAATTTCTTCATTCAAACATGTTGAGCAGGATAGGATGGCCATTATAAACTAGGAAACACCTCCGAAAGAGCCAGTATCTCATATATACGGACCTAACTGTATATTGAACTTTACATGAGGCCCTTCGGTGATGACAAGGGGCACATTTGAGGCCCCCTTTAGCTCACAAGTTGATGACCACTGTTCTAACTATTGTTTGCGGTACACACACCTGAACTGTTGCGGTCCTGCACTTTTAGATCAAGCCACAATACTTTTAACTGCATTTCTGAGAATAACAGAACTGCCATTAAAGATTATGTTTTTTTTAAAAGGTGCAGGCTACAGTGCTTTCATCCTGACCCTTGCTTTACTACCTAGTGAGTCAATGACCAGAAAGAAATGTGTAAATTCCAGTTCTGTCAGCTCACTGACACAGCTCTAATATTTTTATCATGACAGGATGACATACATTTTTGATATTACATATTCTTCTGCTATCTTTTGATCAGAGAACATCTTTTGGTGAAAAGTGATTAGCCTGGATTTGAGTTTATGTTTCAATATTTTTATTAAGTTTTCCAGAGATAACCAGGAAAAAAAAAAAAGAGGGACAAGAGATATGTTGTAGTTCCGCCCGTTGGACGGATGAGGTGTTGGTCTTGTTTAGCAATATCATCAGAGGTATTCGTGTGCAATTGATGAACCTTGGTGATGAGTTTTGGGGTGCTAAGGGGCTTTTGGTGGAGAGGTAAGGGAGGATAGGATTGATGGGAGAAGGGATGTAACTGGGTATTTGAGGGGATACCAGTTTTGGTATGGGGTGCGATTTCATCTCATGAAATTTCATCAGGGTTGTACTGAGCATTTTGGGTGATTTAGCCATCGGGTCTATTGGATATTGAATTGAATTTGTGATCGGAAGAAGTGTTAATTGCAGATAATTTTTCCAATTGCGGATAATTTTTCCATTTGACATTGAGTGTTAAGGTCTGTAATTAGTGAAGTGATTGAGGGGGTATTGTTTGTGTTCCATAATCTAGTGATATTAATGTTGGCGGCAAAGAGTGTGTGTGGATTTGGGTTTAAATGTAAGTAGGTAATGTAACATCAGTGGGTCCCATAAGTCACCTGCTTCTACTTTGCCAACATCTACCCCACCCCCATCACTACCACCACCATAATGTAGTATTATGCCTAACAAAAACCCAGTATGCTTGTTTTTTTTGTAATACACATGTTCCTGCCTCTCATAAGTGCTTGGTGCCAGTCATTAGGCCCATGTACTGTTATCTGAGAAGCATGCCTATTGTAATGCAGATCAGTCAGTATCTGCCCAGTCTTTCTGGAGTGTTGGGAGCTGAAACATAGGTGCATGCACCCTATGATGCGTAATAGAAAGCTTTTAGGTTACTTTCATTGCCTTTAACACAACAGAGAGTTGACTGGAGCAGTCAGGATCTGGAGAAGCTGTGTATGGCAACCAATCAGCTTCTAGATTTCATTTTTCAAAGCTTAACTGACAAAGTAGAAGTTAGAAGCCAATTGGTTGCCATACACAGCTGCTCCAAATTCTATCTTTTAAACTTTCCCCCAATGTTGCATAAAAAAAAAAAAATGGGGAAAATGGTGAACAGGCAGTAATAAATCAAAATCTTATGTGTCACTTACCAACAAATTCTGGTGTTCCAAATATATTTTTGAATTCATTTCCCGCTTGGATTTTGTGTGCAATTCCAAAATCTATGAGTTTAATTCGTGGGTTTGGGCTGCTCTGGTCCAGCAACATAATGTTTTCAGGCTGTAGTGTAAAAGAGCAGGGTTTTTTTTTCATTAATCCAAAGAAAAAATGTCACAGCAACATTTTACAGCCTGAAAGATTTGCTTATTTATGAAAGGCAGTTTGACATATAAAACACCATTACTTCACTCTGCAAAGCTGTGAAATACTTGACTAACAGCACCAACAGTGAAGTGGGCAGCAGCCTTAGCTCTGTCTGTCACCCTTTAACCATGTCCATGCAACTCCCCACCAAAACCTAGTAGGTTAAATTAGTGATAAGAGAGAAGAAAAACTGCCTCATCACTAAATGGGGGGGGGGGGTGATTTAAGGGCAAGATTTGCCATAGTTAGATAACCAGAGCACTCTATTATTTTACACTATGGGCTTCGCAAGGATAGCTTTACTGCAGGGAAGCTGTTTTATTTGTGCGCATGCAAGGAATTAGCCCCACGAGTCATCTTTTACCAGATTTCCTACTCTTGAAGAAAGCCAAAGAATGCCCTTAACCTACTATGCTGATGCCAACTGTTACGGGGTGATGAGGGCACAGAATGCTAAAGTCAGCAATCAAAATTCTTTTGAATCTGATGACTACAAAACAGTTACAGTCCCTATTGTACCCAGCGTTGAAAACATTTTTTTCTTCATGTTTCTATATAATTCTCATATCTTCAGTAGAAAAATGCTCCGATCACACAGCTAGAGTGGTTTAATAGACACCAAATTGAAGTTTAATATCTCTCACGTTCTCCCCAATTACCAGCTTTGATTCTTTATGGGTAATCATCAATAATACAACAAAGAGTAAGCCTTTTCCTTCGATCACCTTCAAGGCTTTTTTGTTTGAAGAATGGTGCGTAATCTAATTACCCACAGTACAAGTCTTGTATAACAATACAATATACACTAATAAAGCTGTTCAAAAGACAATGTGTGGTCCTATTTATTATTAAGCCTTGGACATTAATGTTAGGTGTTTTTATGATTTTAGTCACACCCTGTATCTAGAAACTGCAACAGAAGTGTCCTTAAATGCTTTGAGAGAGGGTGAGCATCTAATATTTACTATAACTGAAGTGGATGCTGAAGGCACCTTATGCTGGCCATACAGTTTAAATTGCATCCGATTACTGCTTAATCATCCAAAATTCAAGGCATGGCTGTCCCTCTCGGCACCAAAAAAAAATTCTCAGCCAAACAATGACTGCTGTCAATCAGAAGCAGTCACGGTTTAGGAATTCTGCCAGTTAGAAGAGCAGTGGTTGTCAGAATACATGAATGGGAGAATTTATTCAATTCCCCTGTGGGCTTAACAAGAGAAATCTTAAAGTGTTATAACTAGCCTTTTGTAAAAGACAAACTGGCTTTGACTGCTACAGAGGCCATATTAAATTACCACTATGCAGCTTAAGGCAAGCCATAGATGATAGCTCGATTCCCCCCATCAACATAGTCAGTGTTGATGGAGGAATCCCTCCCGCAGCACCATTCTGTTTGAATGTATAAAATCCGACAGGCTAATTGTACTGAAATCGATTAATGAATTGACGTCAGTACAGTTTGCCCATAGATGGATCGAACCCTGGCCAGTTCCTGCTTAACTGGCCATGGTTTGATCCATCTATAGCAGAGACATCCCTAGGGTTGGTGTCACCCGGTGCGGTAACGCGTGGTGTCACCCCTCCACAGAGGAAGGAGCGATGCAGGTGTAGCGGTAAAATGAGTATCCCGACCTGTGAAGATATGTATCCCCTGAAGCAACTGCGCATGTGCCGGTTTCAAGCTGAAAAAGCCAATCTCCGACTTTAGAACATTTAACCTATACAGGGTTAACTGATCTTGCAACCCATAGTGATTGGCAGGATCAGCTTCAACGGGTTGCAGCCTGTAAGGGGTTAACTGTGGCAGCTCTGTGCTAAAGTCGGAGATCGGCTTCTTCGGTCTGAAACCGGTACATGCGCAGTTGCTTCAGGTGATACATATCTTCACGGGTCCAGGATACTCAATTTACCGCTACACTGGGGGCAGCTGTCACTGTGCCGGGAACCCGGGATCACCCCAATAACTGGCCAGGACCTTCACAGAGCCCAGAAGCTCTGCTGGCATCCTGCTCCTGCACACCTGTGATGGTGTCACCCGGTGCGGCATGCTCCCCCCTAGGGACGCCACTGATCTATGGCCAGATTAATTGTATGAAGAGCAATAGAGCTGAATTATATTTCTAACATAAGTTTGTAAACAACACTAACTTAAAATGTTACAAAGCATGCATGAACATGACATAAAATGCAAGGCAGAAATGCTTAGGCTGTAGTCAATATGGTGTGAAGAATGTTGAAAATAAATGGTATGCCTTTACCCTCTGTGAGAAAAAGTAGAATATAGGAGCCAGTTATTCCAATGCAAAACCAAAAAGCAGTTTAGTGAAACCAGTGAAAAAACGGCTTACACTGATATCAACATGAGTATATGTTTGCACGGATGGCTAGTGGCAGCTACTGACAAGAATAAGCAGAACCTAAAAGTTCCACAAGTTGCATACACACACAGTGTGTGAACAGTAGCACCTGTCAGTGGCTACTTTCAAATCTGTAAATCAATGGTTGGTGTTGCTACTCTTTGCATGTAACCACTCATCAAAGTGGTTACACGTGAACAGAGCTTCCCATCAACCATGGATGCAGCCAGTGTGCGTTCAGGGTTGGAATTTCTGACTGCACACAATCTGACTGCAGCTAACTCAGCCAGTTTGTATACGGCCATAACACAGACTGTAGTTCTGTCCAAAGGGGGCAATTAGCCACCTCTGAATGCAGCAAACTATCCAACCTCCATTGCCTGTGTAAATATGACCTACAAGGTTTTCAAAATCTGATGACAGTTCTTCTTAGACGTTTTGACCCAATGGCTACTTGTGATTTCTCATACCAACAAGAAAATTCTGGGATTTCTCTAGCCTGTGTCAAGTCTGTCCTGAGCATTCTGACATTATATAATTAAGTGAAATCTTAAGCAACGCATTTAGATTCCATATTTTATTTTGTAGTGCAGATTTGAGAATAAATAACCTGAGAAGAGGAGGATTAGGGTTGTTCTGTGCAAAACCACAACACAGAGCAGGTAAGTATGACATATTTGTTATTTTTAAAACAAAAAAAAAAATCTGCCTCTAATATTATTTTTAATTTTGTTCCAGGTTCTTGTCCCAAAGCCGAATACAGTGCTGTATACTGTATGTAGCTGAGGCTACATACAGTTTAAAAAGCACGTCCAGTGGGCGCACCTGTTAATTTAGGAAATAGATAGTTTCTCCAGCTTGGCCCAAACAAACTATTTAAAAAGTGATAGTAAAGCAGAAAATCATTTTTAACACCCAATCTGCTTGTGTTGCTTTAGTTTTGACAACTTATCTTCTCTATCTGTAGTCTGAATAGGCAGATTTGAAAACATCCGTTAAGGGTCCAATCACACCACTGGCATTCGGTTGCCCGCTCAAGGCAGGCCCAACACAAGGACAAACAGGAATCCATTGTTTCCAAAGGGCGCAGTTCACACCAATGTGCTGCTGATGTGTTCTAGGTAGAGGTGAAACATGCTGCATTTAAACACAGCGCAACATGCTGCAATGCATTACAACACAGAGCCACACGCAGCATGCATTAAGAAAAGAAAAAAAGGTTTTTTTTGCTCCTGCTGTCAAAAAGAGCACATCGATGCAATGCTCATGTTTACCATTTCAGGCATTGCAATGAAATAAACATCCTAGCATATCAATCTAGATTAATTGTGACTGACACATACAACATAAACACATTTTTACACATAAATACCTTGAGGTCAAAATGGGCAATGCTCTTGTGATGCAAGTAGTGGACCCCATCAAGGATTTGTTTTAAAAACATAGTGGCTTCTTCTTCACTCAAGCTTTCCTTTTGTGCTAAGAAGTCAAAGAGTTCTCCTCCTGATACTAACTCCAATATCAAAATCACATCAGTGCGATTCTCAAACACATCATGCAGCGTGATGATGTTTGGATGCTGAATTTCTTTTAAGATGTCCACCTCTCTCTCAATCTCCTCCCGACTCACACCTCTGCGGCTGGATGACAAACGACGCTTCTTAATAAACTTGGCTGCATATTCTATTCCTGTCGCACGTTCCCGACACTTCCGTACAATAGCAAATTGGCCACTGAAATGAAATAAAAATGCATTTATTATTTTGGCTCCTAAAAAGGACAGGAAACTGGGACAAACAAAGCAAGAAAAAATACGAGGGTGGCCAACCAGGCATGCAGCTCCCATGCACATACAGTGCTGTATCCTTCAGAGGCTCACTAAATTTTGACTTGTGATTTAGTCCTCATGCACACTGGACGTTTTCATAACGTTTGTAACGTTAGCTGTAAAAAGTCACATTAAAAACGCAAGGTTTTCAGCTTTTTTTTAGCGTTTTTGCACTAGCATTTAGCAGCGATTTTTGACCCCAAAAATTTTTTTGGGGGGAGTTCAGCGTTAGAGCATTATTACAGCTAGTCCTGGGTTTTTTTTTCCCAGCCAAAAAAATTTATTACAGTCTATGTATGCATGGACACATAGGATAACATGCATGGGGGGTTTACTGGCTGGAGAAAAAATGTCAAAAGCCAAAAACAGTAGCTGTAAAATGTCAAGTGCGCATGAGGACTTGCACCTATGATGATAGGTACACTACTGTTTTTTTCACATCACAATTTTTTTTTTAAACTCACTTTTATTAACATTTACACTAATACAGACATATACCCCTAAAAACAATTTATGGTCTGATTTGACCTGGGTTAGTAAACACGGCTTAAAGTAACACATGCCCTTTATTCCCTTATAGAAGGTGAAAATAGGTTTCAATTTTTAATTCTATGCAATAACATTTTACATTTTTTTCAATATTTTGTGACATTTCAAGCACATGGGCATTTTCAGTGTGAAATAATGTCATTGAAAACCTGTAAACAAAGACCAGGGTGGGGACGAGCTGCAGTTTGTTTGTCAGTAGATGCACACAGTAAGGCTAGGGATTGAGGAAGCATGTGTGCCCCCATAGCAAGCTGCTTGTTATGCGGGCACTCAGAAGGCAGGAGGAGCCAGGAGCACCAGCAGGGGACCCTATAGGTAAGTATAGAATGTTTGTTATTGTAGAAAAAAAAAAAATCAAGCTTTACAATCACTTTTTTTCCATTAATACATTGAAAAGGTAAAATAATGCTCCAGTACTTGTCCTACCCCATCTCCAAACACTTACCTGGTGTCCCTCTCAAAGCTGCAAGGTCTTCTAACAAGCCACACCCCTCCACAAACTTCCTGGCAGTAGAGGGGAGAGGTGAAGTTTGGCTAGTGATTGGCTCCTGCAACTCACTGTCAGGAGCTGGGAGGATGGAGCAGGAGAGTGGCTTGCTAAACACTGGACGCACACAGCCCTGGCATGAAGAGAACGCGCTGGTGTCTCCTTTAGCAGCAGCTACCTGAAGGAGACCCCTACAAACATAGGCGGAGACAGTGGCTGTGGGAACAACCGCAAGAAAAACACATAAAAACATTCAAGGAGACAGATTATACACAATGTGTAAAATGTTTTTTCTTTTCCAGTTAGACTTTCATATCGCTTTAAGAAGTCTTCATTGCTTTGCATGGATTTACTGAAGTGACTTCTGATTCCTTTTAATTCACAATACCATGAACTTTTATATACCTTTTTTGTTGCTCCCCAAGTAAGCTATGGTTTTCAGGCACCACAATGATGATGGCCCACTTGCCTGAAACACCTTTCTGCATCTGTGCTGTGACCCAGGGGCTTTGGGTGCATCTGTGGCTACGAGGCATAAAGGAATGGTTGGCATGGCTCCAGAGAGTTTGTTCACACCATGGATGCATTAACGTTGAACTCCTAGGAAAGTAAAAATCCTACCTTGCAGTGGAGATGCTATTTACATCTAGGGGATCAGGAAAAGCAGTTTTACTTAATATGAAATAAATATGGTGCAGGGCTATAAACGTACCACAATGATATATACAAAGCACACAAACTATATATCAGCAAATGTAACACGTGCTCATAATAGTAAACATGAAACCTAGTGGGTGATAAATCCTATAACAGCTTAATAAATGCGTGATGACTATTCAGTAGTCCTATAAGAATAAATATGGCTTGATAGGTGGACCTTGCTGGTGATCAAAAAAAGTGAAGAATATCAATCCTCTCAGGACAGTTCATAAGCGAACAATAGTGCTCAACTGAAGTGGAAAAAACATGCATGTGATAAAAACGCATGAGCAATCTGGTGATCAAATGTGTTAACAATTTAGTGAAGCGCTATAAAATAATTATCAATAAATAAATACTAAAGTGCCTATTATACCTAACAATTAGTGCTCTGTGAGAAAACCAGAGTTAGACTTACCGGTAACTCCTTTTCTACGAGTCTTCCAGGACAGCCATCTGAGACCTTGGGCTCCTCCCTCCGGATCAGGAAACACACCATCCCCCATGCCTTTAAAAGGCGGGCCTCCGGGCCTCACATCCAGTTATTAAAAGAGAACTAGCGGAAGCCACTGAAAGACACAAATATAGGTAAATACAATTTTCATGCAGTCAACCTTAACTCTCTCGGTTGTACATTAGAAGGGTGGGAATTACCGGCTGTCCTGGAAGACTCGTAGAAAAGGAGTTACCGGTAAGTCTAACTCTGGTTTTCTCCATACGTCTTCCAGGACAGCCATCTGAGACGATAAACGAGAACTTACCCCCTTAGGGTGGGTCCACCGCCTGGAGGACCTTGCGTCCGAACGCCTGTTCCTTATCTGACAGGATATCCAAGCGATAATGCTTCACGAAGGTGGAAAACCTCGACCAAGTGGCTGCCTTACAGATTTCCTCCGGCGAAGCCCCGGCCCTCTCCGCCCAGGACGCTGCCAAGGATCTAGTTGAGTGGGCCTTAACAAAAGGAGGCGGAATCCCCAAGACCTTGTAAGATTCCCCAATAGCCAGCCTAATCCACCTGCCTATCGTGGCTTTAGATGCTGCTAACCCCTTTCTCTGCCCTGAAAACAACACAAAAAGGGAATCCGATTTCCTAAATTCCCTGGACCTGTCTAAATAAATTATAAGACTCCTCTTTACATCCAGCAAACCTAGGCTTTCTTCCTCTTTACCTTCAGAGGAAGAACAAAAGGTCGGCAGAACAATATCCTGCGACCTGTGAAAAGAGGAGGATACTTTAGGAAGGAATCCCGGATCAGTCCTAAGCACCACCCTGTCCTTAAGAATGGTCAAGTAAGGCTCCCTAATTGAGAGCGCCTGTAGCTCACTCACCCTACGGGCCGATGTGATTGCTACCAAAAAAAACTATCTTTAAGGTCAAAAACTTGAAAGCTGACTCCTCTAAAGGCTCAAAAGGTTCTCGAACCAAAGCCCTTAGGACCAGAGACAGATCCCAACTCGGACAACCTCCCACCTTAGCAGGCCTAGCCCTGGAGAGAGAGATCTAAAAAAAATCAACTACAAAAGGGATTTTGTTGCAAAGAGCACTGCAAAAAAACACTCAAAGCAGAAGCCTGTACTTTCAAGGTGCTGATCGAGAGTCCTCTATCTGCCCCCTCCTGAAAAAAGTCCAAAACCATCGGAATGTCCAGGGGCCCTGGTCGGTCCGAACACCACGAGGCAAATCTTTTCCAGACCTTAGAATAAATGACTCTGGTTACCGGCTTGCGACAGCCCACCAAAGTCTTTATTACCTGATCAGAGAACCCCCTGGCTCTGAGGATCTGTTCCTCAAGAACCAGGCCGTCAATCGTAACGTCTTGACTCGCGGATGTAAGAGCGGACCCTGCGCAATCAGATCTGCCCTTTCCGGCAAGGGATACGGGCAAGCTGATGCCAGCCTGTTCAGTAGGGAAAACCATGGCCTTCTCGGCCAAAAAGGAGCGATCAAGAGTAGATCCGACCTTTCCTCTAAACATTTTTGCAGGACCGCCGGAATCAGCCTGATTGGAGGGAACGCATAGGCCAGCCTGAAATTCCAGGTGGTCGTCAGAGCGTCTATCCCCAAGCTCTGCTCTCGCGAGTTTAGGGTAAAGAACTGGTCGACCTTCCTGTTCTCCCGTGACGCAAAAAGATCCACCTCCGGTTTCCCCCACCTGGGGAAATCCGCAAGCGAATTGTGAGAACCCTTTAAGTGTATCCGCCGCCGAAATTGAACGCAGATTCTGTTCTGCCCAGGTCAGAATATCGCCCGCGATCCTCTGCAGCGAAGGACTCCTTGTCCCCCCCCCCGTTTGTTCACATAAGCTACCGTTGCCATGTTGTCTGAACGAACCTGTACATGAAGGCCCCTCAAGCCTACCTGAAAAACCTCCAAGGCTTTCCCGACCGCCAACAGCTCCCGCTGATTTGAGGGCTTTAAGGAGTCCTCCTGGGACCACCTCACCTGGGCCGTTCTCCCTTGTAGATGAGCCCCCCAACCAAAACTGCTGGCGTCTGTGGTTACAATGAGTGGATCCGATGGCCTCCAATCCAGACCCCTGGTCAAGTTTCTCTCCGTTTTGCCACCACCACAGAGATCTCTTGACTCTGGACGGAAGCCGGACCTGCCGCTCCAGCTCTGAGACATTTTCCGTCCCGTTCCTTTAACAAGAAGGCCTGGAGCGGTCTCTGGTGAAATCTCGCCCATGGAACCGCCGGAAAGCAGGATGTCATAAGACCCACTGCCCCTGCGACCCCCCTCACCAAAACAGGCAGGTTGCACTGCAACCCTAACAACACCCGATTCATCTTCTCGAACTTATCCCGTGGCAGAAAAATTTTTTCCTCTACAGAAGAGATCTCGTACCCTAGGTAAACCACCCTCTGTGCGGGTACCAGAGACGACTTTTCCCTGTTAATAAGCCAGCCCAGACCCTGCAGGAGATTCTGGACTACTGCTAGGTGCTCGAGCAACTGTTGTCGAGACCCGGCCACCAAAAGCAAGTCGTCCAGGTAAGGAACCACCAAGATTGATCTCAGCCTCAGGGGAACCAAAGTTTCTGCTAAAACCTTTGTAAAGATCCTGGGAGCTGATGCTAGACTGAAGGGCAAGGCCCGAAACTGCCAATGGAAGGTCTGCGACCCCATCCTTATGGCCAACCTCAGGAACTTCTGACTTGCCTGGTGGATGGGAATGTGAAAATAAGCATCTCTCAAGTCCACTGTGGCCATGAAGCACCCCCGGAACAGGATATTCTTTACCGAATATATCGATTCCATTCTGAAGCGTTTGTATGTTAGGGCC